TTTAAAAACTGTAATTTGTAAAGATAAAAAAGGTGAACAAATAATTGACAATATTACATTTGATGAAAAATGGAAAATAAAATACAGAAAACAAGGTAAAGAATATCCAGATAAACCCGAGAATCCTGGAATTACAGCAAACAATTTTATTGGTAAAGCTTTTGAAGCTTGGAAATCAAATGCTTCAAATGAATATGTTGAATTGAAAAATAATACAAGAAAAAATAACTTTTATAATGCAGACAAAAATATGGGTATCAATGTTAATGTCAATGCTCCTGATGGTAAACCTGAATACAAACTATTATTCGTTACAGATAAATATTTATATCTAAATTCCCTTACAGATCTAATATCTGTTTCAAAATAATAATATGCTATTTTTGTTTGCCAGAAATACAATTTTATAAATCATGTTATAGTTTAAACAAAAATTATCCTGGCATTTTTCTATTAGTTTATTCATTATTAAATTTTATTTGTTATTAAATAACATGCATTATACTCACCTTATTTGCATACCATTTTTCAAGCTTGAAATCCAGTTGAGCTGTTTAAAGTGGGTTTGTGTTGGAATATAGGAACGTTCTATAAACATGTAGATAAACTATAGAGATGTAAAGTATATTTAATAAATAAGTGATATGCACTGCAAAAGGTGAAGAGAAGAGGGCATATTGCTTTGGTCACTGTGTGACTTATTGTTTGTGTGGCTAAACAGCCAAGACTGGTTAATCAGTTGATTGCCATTAATCAATAGTTTGTTTTAGGCCAACTAACTTTGTCGACATTTATTGCGTAATAAATTTGGATACCCTTGGGTCATTTGCTTCCGTGTGTTATTTGTTCAGTTGTTACACAATTATATGTACATGACTAATATTTCTTGTTTATATTTGAATTACATATGCGCTCTGGTCAAGCAAAATAAAACAAGTATATGCAAGCTAATAAAACATGTATATATGTTTATTTATTTATATTGAAAGCCAAAACAAATATACCTTTTTTCCTGCACGTTGGTGACAATCCAAGTGGGACATACAGCATAGGAAGATTAATACATTTGGTAATACCCCCCACTATTAATATTATTTTGTTTCCAAATGGTTTTCCTAGTTTGAAAGTGCAAATCAAAAATGTGGACAGCACACATGCAATTCCTGCGCTTTTAATTTATTGGTGTTCAAATAAAATGAATTCAATGGCGATATATTTATTATTGCTTGGAATGAAAACTTTAGTATGTTTTACATTTTTCTTCTTTTGTTTTACATTTTTAAATATATTTATTCAAGTTTATTTATCTAAATTATGAGTTTTTTAATAGACGCCCTGCAGGGCTTACTCCAGCCGCTCAAACTACTTTGCGGACTAGTTGCCTACTTTGCCTAGATTGTATTTATTGATTAATGGCAATCAACTGATTAACCAGTCTTGGCTGTTTAGCCACACAAACAATAAGTCACACAGTGACCAAAGCAATATGCCCTCTTCTCTTCACCTTTTGCAGTGCATATCACTTATTTATTAAATATACTTTACATCTCTATAGTTTATCTACATGTTCGTAGAAAGTTCCTATATTCTAACAGTATTCCATGCATTTTATCTTTTGCTTTTGCGCAATATCCCGGATCCCTTCTGGTTTTGCATAGCAGGTCTTTCCATGCTTTTTTTTACCAGCTCAGTGGTCTTGAGCCCACGCTAATAAAACAATTTAACAAAATATACCACAATATCTTTATCATGTCTCAGTTTTGAGGGGCTATCTGTAACCCCAAAGACAGTCAAAAAATTATATCCACATACACATTCCTCAAAGACAAATTATACAGCAACATTGAGGTTATGGAGCCAAATATGTTTGACCGTTGACCCTGAGCTAAACAAGCATTGCCGCAGACAGATGGGACTGTCGATGAGTTTAGCTAATTTAAAGCAAATGGAGCCTATTATTTTGGACGCTGGAAGTAAACAGTTGCTCAACAAGTGGGACTGGGATATTGAGAAATCTGCGGATAAACAAAAAGCCAGAATATGTTACCATGGCGATTTCATGCTCATTACCTTTGATATTATTAGTACATTTGGCTTTGGACAAACACATAGGTCGTTGACATTGGGTGACACACATATAGTAGAGCGGGTGCACAGCACATTCATTTTGATGTATCTGCATTCGTTCATGCCTATAGTCAGGTCTAAGCTGCTCCGTCAATCTATTGCTAAACCACTACATGAAAAGGTTGATGCGTTCTTTAATTTAAGTATCCAGGCTATTTGTTATGTTAAAAATATATATTTGAACAAAATGAACTAAAATAAAGCTAAGGGATGAACAGCCTTCACTGTTCATATTCATTAATATTTATATGTGCATATGAATTCCTGCATACCCAATTACGGAATTAACTGGTAATTGATTCATTAATCAATCGCTGGAGACAAGCCGCATTTTCTTGTATCACACCAAGCCACTAGCTTTTCAAGCATCAAGATTGCCCTCATGTCTGCTATACACATTTATGTTATTGCTGGCTGACATTACGGAACAACATTATATTTACAGCGCTGCCCCCTTTTGTAGTTAAGTAATTTTTGAAACTTATAATACAATAGTTTTGTCTGTAATGCTCTAGAAAGATGTGAGTCTAACCTAATATATTTCAACATCTTCTCCAGCAACTATCTCTATGGCGTAAATCTCCACATAAGTAAGTTCTTTAAACTTGATAAATAAAACTCCAATATCCAATTTAGGCACACATACTAATTTTTTAAAAGGAACTGTATAATATGAAATAATGCGAATTACATTCGAATCGGACTTATACCGATAATACATAGTGTCCACTGTGAAGCGACCTTCAAAGTGTTCTTTTATTTTTTCAAAAAAAGCTTTTGCAGGCATATTTCCACCAACCTTAATCGGAGTATTTAAACCATAACACTTGTCCTTTAAAAGATTATTTATTTGTTCAGCCGTGTATTTATTTACTTCCTTGCCTTTGGCACTGTGGGGAACTTCAGATCTCATCGGTAATGCGTTTGATACTTGTATACTGGGCAGACTGGTGAAAAGGCTACAAATAAATGCAAAGTATGTGCTATTGTTGTTGAATAAAAATGCGTGTATTAAATATACTTTCATGAAGGAAAAGTATTTGTTTTTATACATGCCCAGCAGCAGACTGATAGATGTATGCTGCTCTGCTTTTATTTTTTGGTTTAAAAATGGAAAAATGAAAAATGAAAAATAAAATCCCCCGGCTTGGCACTCTATAATTCATTCGTGTTTCATTTTTTTTGACTACCACTTTTTATTATTAGCTGTCATTGTTAAAATAATTAGGAGTACCTTTTTGCATTCCAAACTATTTTTATTAACGAGTGAATTCGGTCAATGTATTCCCAAAACTATATTCAAAAACCAGGAAAAAAAACTAATAAATGTTGATTTGCCCTTTTTATGACTGAGTGTGATACAAGAAAATCCGGCTTGTCCTTAGTAATTGATTAATGAATCAAACCCCAGATAGTTTCCTACTTGGATATGCGGGAATATTCATACAATTAGTATAAATAATAATCAATATGAATAGTTGCGGCCATTCACTCGCCAGCTTTCTTTTAGTTCATCTTTTTGGATAACCAATACTTTTAACACAATATTATTGTTACGTCGGTCAGGGAAAACAATAGGCAAAATCAGAACCACCTACTAGCGCAAATTTCTTTGCGACTTTTTGTGAAAAAGGGAGCTACAAATACCGATATTGTAAAAATAAAATGATAGTGAACAAAAAACTGCTGATTCACGTGAATTTATAAATTTACAAAAACTTTTATAGTAAAACTTTTATATTGGCAGCGGATGTGGGTGAGAATGTACTGTAAAAAAATTATAGAAAAATGATTTGGAATGCAAACAAGTACTCCTAATTATTTTAACAATGACAGCTAATAATAAAAAGTGGTAGTCAAAAAAAATGAAACACGAATGAATTATAGAGTGCCAAGCCGGGGGATTTTATTTTTCATTTTTCATTTTTCCATTTTTAAACCAAAAAATAAAAGCAGAGCAGCATACATCTATCAGTCTGCTGCTGGGCATGTATAAAAACAAATACTTTTCCTTCATGAAAGTATATTTAATACACGCATTTTTATTCAACAACAATAGCACATACTTTGCATTTATTTGTAGCCTTTTCACCAGTCTGCCCAGTATACAAGTATCAAACGCATTACCGATGAGATCTGAAGTTCCCCACAGTGCCAAAGGCAAGAAAGTAAATAAATACACGGCTGAACAAATAAATAATCTTTTAAAGGACAAGTGTTATGGTTTAACTACTCCGATTATGGTTGGCGAAGATATGCCTTCAAATGGATTGTATAAAAAAATAGAAAACCACTTTAAAGGTCGTTTCACAGTGGAATCTATATTTTATCGGTATAAAATCTATACGGATGTAATTCGGATTCTTCCATATAATACACGTACTTTTAAAAAATTAACAAATGATCTTAAAGGCCAAATTGGAGTTTTATTTATCAAGTTTAAAGAACTTGAATATACAGAACTTTACACTGTACAGATGGTTGATGGTAACAATGCTTTAATACAATAGTTTTGTCAATTCAAGAAATGCACATTGAATACAGTAGCATATATTACTATGTATAACTGTGTATTTAAATGGTTTTTAGTGTTGCTGCTGGAAAAACAGCAGTTATAAGTAACTAAAAGTTGTTTTCCAAACTCTATGGCTTGCCCATAAGTGTAAAAGTGGACTTTGGGGTAACTGTTTGTATGACCACTAGTAGTCTGTAAAATTGGCCCTCTGATTGCCCCCTTTCAACTATTGCTTTTTATATCCCCTGATACCGAGTTTAACACCTGCATGTGCTTCATTTTATTTTTACATTTTTTGCTGCCGGCTACTATTTTGATTGTATTTTAGTAAACAAACAAATTTAAACAAAGTGAATAAAAAAGTTAAAATATCAAGATAAAAAATAAAAGTGGAAGCAAATTACTGGGTGGTAGCAACTTTTATCGGCCGTCCACGCCTGCGTTTGGCCACAGGAATAGTTGCAGGTTCTGAGGAACAAGGGCAAGTGCAAGCAGGTGTCAATACAGGAGAAAGTGTGGGCGTTAATACCAACACTTCAGCTTTATTTACAGACAAAACAGTGGCCGATGAACCACGTGATTCGTAATGCTGGTCGATCTGTCCTCTAAACTCATTTCGAATGTGTTTAATGTTAATCAATATCGGGTCTCCAGCTGGGCGAGCATCAATTTGGCTGGCTATCGCCAACTCTACCATTGGTTCAAAATTCTGAATGTTAATTTGGCGGTTCCTGCCATAGACAATGTTGTCAATAACATATTTGACAGTAATGGTCACAACAGATAAAACTAGTTCAATTAACTCAAAGATGATTCTACTGACAACAGGATAGGGAGACAAGCCAGGAGGTGGGACGTAAATTGGCTTGGCAATACCTGCAGTGCTGATGTCAAACATAATAACAGCACGCACAGTACCAGTGGTAAGCGCAGTGTCAGCAGTGGGCTCAGCAGACTTAGAGCACTTCACTATCTGAATCTTTATGTCTAATCCAATGTCTTCTTCATCACCACTGAACAATTTGCCCATATCCCCCAAAAATGACCGCGCAATAATAGAGTTAAGCACCACCATGGTTTTTTCTTCAGTAAGATTGTCATCCTCCCTTACCAGCTTTGATACGGTCACTAATAAAAATACTAATATACAAAAATATTTGTTGCAATGTAGCCAATAAAACAAACCAAATTAGCTGCAAAATGGATAACTTACAATACATTGCCATCTCTAATTCTGATGTCACCAAGTGCTTCTGGGAGGGTCCTTGTGGTGCCCAACACACATTTCAAGCCACTATCTTCCCTTTTCAACAATCAAGATCGCCCTCATGGCCACTATACACATTTCTGTTATTGCTGGCTAACATCAAGGAACACCATGATATATACAGCGCTGCCCCCTTTTTTCAGTTAAGTAATTTTTAAGACTTGAATATATCGATTTAGACCCACATTTTTATAGAGCACGATAGCCCTAAAAGAAATGCAGCTTTCCCCATTGTTGAAGATGGATAAGCAAACTTATGCAAATGAAGCCTGAACATCGGTAACCATCTAGAGTTCCTTTGCCTTCCCCTACTCACCCAATGTCGCAGTCACTTGGAAGTAGCTGTCACTTTCAGGCAAAGCTTCAAACTTGTAAAATAGTGAGGTTTTAGAGACTACCAAATATGCTATGGCACGCAAATAAATTTATATCAGCTTTACATGATCTCCACGAACCACAGGAGCAATTGCTGTCTTGATTGGGTATCGGATCGATTCGAATTTTCCTTTGCGCCTTGGATTCTTCATAAAAGGAACAACCCCGGGAAAAGTGTCTCGGGGTGCTGCTGTCTGTTGGCCAAAGTGCTAAACCGGCTCGCCATTTTGTCCATTTTGGTTTCCATTGCCGCCTGATTGGTCCCAATTGCTGTCTGTTTCACCTCAACAGCACCCACATGCTCTGTCAATTTGAGCATGTGCCCCCCAATGCAAAAAAAGCCTGTCCAGACCACCTCCATTTTAGCAAAGTTGTTAAAGCCATGTGTGAAATCATTCACTAGCTTGGTAACATCTGCAACTGTCCCTATCTCTGCTGCCGTCGTATGGTCGTAATTAGCAGGCCTAGGCTCAAAATTTCTGATGAAATTCATTAAAAAATTTTATTTAAAAAAGTTAAAGAGCGCACGAATCTGCGCTGCAATAACTCGGCTTTGTATTTAAAAACAACATTTTTTTGTAATCGATCAACTGAAATCGTGAGCTTAAAAAAAAATAATTTGTGGCCTTAAAAAGCTTTGAGATTATAAATAAAATTCAATTATTTTGCGTGCCTCAAATATTATATATTTTTCTCTTTATGTTTTTTAACAGCTATGGTCAGTGGTAGACTGGGGTTTCTTTCAATAGTGGACGGCATGTAGCCGTCTGTATCCGACCTTGCTGCTAGTGATGCGCTGGCTGCACATTCCAAAGTCAAAGGAGAGCTCAGCCGGGAGGGGAATTTATGGCCCATATGCAACTGACATGGTCTCACCCGAAAAGCCTAAGATGTAATATCAGAATTGGGCTGAGTCAACACAACAACGCAAACACGTGAAATCACAATGGTATGATACTCCATGCGCGCATAGATTTTATTATAATGTAAAGTTTTTTTTAGCTCTTTTTTGTAGTCTCGATTAACTTTTATTATTTTAATAGTAAATATTTTTGGTTTTAATATGGATCTGATCAGTTGATTACACTTATAAAACGCGAAATTCAAATACTTTTTTTTTTTTTTTTTTTTTTTTGAAGGATTTTATTACAAGTTGCCTCACGCGTAATTGATTTCCCTTTCTTATTTCTTTTTTCGCTCTAATTTATATATACATATTTTTACATTTTAAACCCCTCTCCCCCCTCCCCTAAAAACTTTTACGTAATTCAGTGAATGGAGCTGCGTAACCGAAGACTTTCTCTTGAAGAACTCGACGAGCAAACCAACGGCGATAAGCAACCAACAAGCATGAACAGCAACGCTAGCAACAGAAGCAACGATGGCAACAGCAATAATGGCGACCGAGATGGCGATGGCGACGAAGACGAGGAGATGGAAGATATGGGAGGGTTCCTTGGCGATTTTGAAGAGATCTGCGAGGATGAAGATGTCGAGCGGTTTATTTCGCAAAACCACACGCCGGCGGTATCCACCAGACACTCGCCGGAGATCTGCGATAAGGCAGAGAGCAGTGATGAGGAGGATATTTTCGAGTCAATTCCAGACCAAGAAGACGTGGTTATGGAATCAGCGACTGTAGAGCCGGTCGCTCCGGAGCCTATTTCTGTCGAAAAGCCGAGTGAAGAGCAGGTTATGGTGGGGGCAGCGGTGGAGACTGTGGCGGCTGTTCAAATGACTGAGCCGGCAGCAGAATCCCAAGAAATAGAAGAGGTGGTGCCGGAGATCGCTGAGGTGACGGATGTGGCTGAAAGCGCAAAGTCGGCGAAGACGGCCTGGCTGGTGTCCGAATCAATCAAGCAAAAGTACCGCGAGCTCGAGGATCGGTTTCGCGACCAGTTTGTTCCCAAGCTGGGGAAGGGCCAGTTTTTCGACCCGGAGACGTACAGGAAATACACAGTTATCGGGAATGTCGCCGAGGCATCTGTGGCGGCACCGGTTGTTCTCCAGCCGCAGCAACAACAAACACAGCAGCAGCCGCGGCAGCAAGCCCAGCAGCAGCAGCAGCAGCAGCCGCAACAACAACACATCCAGCAGCCGCAGCACCAGCAGCAGCAGCCGCAACAACAACACATCCAGCAGCCGCAGCACCAGCAGCAGCAGCCGCAACAACAACACATCCAGCAGCCGCAGCACCAGCAGCAGAAGCCGTCGTCGTTGCGTTCAGGGGCATTGGTGCAGACCGACCCTCCGGTGAGCACACGCACGCGGTCGACTAAGGCCAGCGACCAGGACGACGTCGTCGGGGCGCTGCTCGGGGCAATGCAGCCGGCAAACAAGAAGCCCAGCCCGCACGCAGACGCGGCCCAAGCCACCCAAGCCACGATCCCCACCGACATGCTTGCAGCCATGGCCGCGCTAGACGGGCCCACGCCCGCCGACGCACCAACCCAGCCTGCGCAGCCAAAAGCCGACCCAACCCCACACGTAACAGCGAAAGACCTCGCAGCGCACTTGCCGCGCGGATACGCCGGGCCATTCTCGCAATTGACATTGGCGGAGCACCAGCGGTGCCAGTTTCTGGGCTCCCGTGGAGCGAAAGCGCTGGGAGCAAGGGAGCAGGCAGAGTTTATGCGGTTGCGCGGGCGCGTGGAGGCAGAGCAGAAGGAGTTCCGCAGGCTGCTGCAGGAGAAGACCACAGAGTCCCTGCGCGACGTTTCGCCGGAGCTTCTGGCGCAGTGCCGCGGGTGGCTGGAGAAGCAAAGGCGCGAGGCGCTGGAGGCGTATGCGCCGATGTACATGCCCACACGGGTGATGGCTATTCGGCCGATTACCTCGGGGCACGTGCCGCTGGAGTACCGCGATACGCTGCTGCAGTGCGGCGTATGCCACGGGGTCAGGGAGGTGTCGCATGGCGGGCGGGTTCAGCAGCAGCAGCAGCAGCAGCAGGCGGGGGAGGTGGCCATGGGGGGAGGCAGGCCGGTGATGACCAAGGACCCGCACGTGCGGCGGCTGGCGGAGCAGGCCCGCGCGGACGTGGCGTTGTCGGACAGCGCGCTGCTGGCACTGCTGACTTTGCCGCTGGCCTACCACCGCGATCTACTGATACCCCTGGAGGTCGCCATGGTGGGCGGCCGCCGCTTGGCTGTGGTTGACCGCCCGCTGGTGCCTGGCCGCGCGTGGACGCCCCGGAAGCTGCGCCAGATGTACTGCGACGCAGCCGTGCGCTCGCAGATGCTCGATAGAACGCAGACGCTGGCTCTGGGCCGCGGCTCCGGCGGCGGTACGGAGCCGCGGCCGGGGCCGGGGCCGGATACTGTGGGCGCTGCGGCCAATGCCAGCTACACTGTGTGGGCATTTGGGGCCACCCGGTTGCTCGTGCGCTGCGGGATTGACGGGTTCAGTCAGGGCGAGGGTGAGGGCGAGGGTGAGGGCGAGGGCGGCAGTGGCGAGGCGCGGGTGACGGTGACATTGGGAACAAAGCTCGAGCACCACGTTCCGGCGACCAGCCCCGAGGCGAGTCTGGCAGCAGGCGGCAGCGGCATGGCCCTGGAGGAGATCACCGAGACCGAGCGGCTGTCCTGGTGGCTGTCCGCGTGGCTGCGCGGCAGTCCGTCGCAGCTATGGGTCACGCACCTGGACAGAGCATCTCAGGCCGTGCGCACCTCGAAGGTGACGGCCGCGGATATGTTTCCGGCGGATGCGCCGCAGCCGTCAATGCATGCTTTGCGCAATGTGTTGGCGGAGATACAGAGGCTGCCGGTTGGCCGGTATGTGCTGGAGCACGTGCGCGGCGCCTGGGATGCGACTATTCTGAGAGCTGTGGACCGCGCTGCTTCGGGTGCTACGGCTGCTGCGGCTGCTTCGGGTGCTGCAGCTGCTGCAGCTACTACGGCTGCTACGGCTGCTGCTGTGGGCGCGGGGGTGCTGGGCGTGAGACCGTCGGGTGCTGTGATGGATCTGGCCAAGGAGCTGGAGCTGGAGGTGGAGCTGGGTGCTGCTGGGTTTGCGCTAGGCGAGGTCGCCAACGACTATGTGCCGCCGATGTGGCTTGGCGCCCCGCCGATGCCGCCGTGGACGTATCCGCCGCCGGAGATGCTGGCCCTGCACAAGCAGAAGCAGAAGCAGAACGGCGCGGGTGCTGGCGCAGGCATGGGCGCAGGCGCAGGCGCAGGCACAGGCGCAGGCACAGGCGCTGGGTCCAAAAAGGGAAAGAAGGCGAACAAGAGGAAGAGGGCTAGGCATAACTGAATCAGACAATCAATCAGACAATCCTGTGGTTGTATTTTTTGGCTGGCGGGTGGGGGGTTTCTTTCCCCTTCTTTTTCCTCTTTCTTACTGGCCCACTATTTTTCTCTCTTTCTCACTTGCATTTCAACAACGGAATTTTGTATTTTATTTTATTTTATTCTATTCTATTCTATTTTATTTTATTTTGTCTCTATCCTTATTGTTCCACAGCAATGCTCATTGTCGGGCTCACAGGCGGAATTGCCAGCGGCAAGAGCACAGCCAGCAAGGCGCTGCGCGCCCGGGGCATCCCGGTCATAGACGCAGACGCAATAGCGCACGAAATAATGCAGCCGGGCCAAGCCTCATACCGCAGGGTCGTCTCCCACTTCGGCCCCAGCATCCTCCACCCCGACCGCACCATCGACCGGGCCAAGCTCGGCGCAATAATCTTCAATGACCCCGCCCAGCGCCAAGCGCTCAACCAGCGCACACACCCCTACGTGCGGCGCCGCATCCTGCATCTCCTCCTGCAACACTACCTGCGCGGCCACGCACTGTGCATCCTGGACGTGCCGCTGCTGTACGAGTCTGGGATGGATCGCCTGTGTGGCCGGGTTGTGGTCGTCGTGTGTGCTGAGGAGACGCAGGTGAGGCGGCTGCGCGAGCGGAGCGGGCTTGGGAGGCAGGAGGCGCAGGCGAGGGTGAGGGCGCAGATGGGCTTGGAGGAAAAGGCCAGGCGCGCCGACGCCGTGGTGGCCAATGAGGCGGGCATCAGCGAGATGCAGGAGGAGGTGTGCCGGGTTGTCGACGCGTGGAGGCCCGGATGGCTGCGCACCGCGGCGGCGCTGGCCGTGCCCCTGGCGGCTGCCGCGGCTGTGCCGGCGGCCTTTGTCCGGTCGGCGGCGCTGGGGATCAAGGCGCTGGGCGCGGTGGTGGCTCTGGGCGCGTACCTTTTTGTGTCGCACTATTAAATTCATTTGATTCATCTGCTTGATATGCTTGATATGCTTGATATGCTTGATATGCTTGATATGCTTGATCTGCCTGATCTGCTTCATCTGCATGATATGCTTGATCTGCCTGATCTGCCTGATCTGCTTCATCTGCTTCATCTGCTTCATCTGCTTCATCTGCTTCATCTGCTTCATCTGCTTCATTCTACTTTTATCTCCGTGCTCAGCGCAAATGGCTCGGCGACCCGTCGTACAGGCACTTGATGACGTAGGCCTCTGAGAGAAGCAGCTCGACGTCGCGGTCTGTCCATGCGGCAGTCGGCGGGCGCTGCAGGAAAACCATGATCTCCTGGAAGTCCATCGCGCGCAGCTCCCTGCTCCACCGAAGCAGGAACGCCGCGCACACATACGTGTGGAAGGCCGAGAAGCCCTGGGCGCCGCCGCCCTCTGCCAGGTACGTGTCCCAGACGCGCACGACGCAGTCCAGGCTGAGCTCGCGCATCAGCAGGCAGTTCATCCAGCGGAAAGCAAACTGAATAAACTCGACGCCATGCGCGTCCAGGTGGGCAGCAAGGTCGCGGTCGATGCGCGCCACCAGCTCCTTCATGCGCACGATCTGCCTCTGGATGCCAGGCTGCGCGTGCGTGTAGTTGTCCTGTATGCCGTCCAGAAGCTTGGTTAGGCACCAGAAGCTGTCGGCCTCGACCACCTCAAAATCCACGCTCGGCCCCTCCTGCATGAACACGCGGTAAAACGTCGTCACCAGGTCGTTGATCCCCTGGACATAGCCGCTGGCCGGGTGGCGTGCTGCCCAGCAGTACAGCACGCGCTCCAGGCTTCTCTGCAGCCGCTCCTCATGGAACTCGGCGCACCCGGGCTGTGTCCGCGGCACGTCGATGCGGATCTGGTGCCAGAGCTGTCGGTCCAGCGCGTCCTCGCCGCGGCCAAACGTCTGTGTGCGCCAGTCGAGGTACTCCTTGCGCTTGCGCTGGAGCGTGGCCTGGCGGCGCGTGGAGTTGAGCGGGCCGTAGCCCATGAGGAGGCGCCAGGACGTGGGCCGGAACTTTGCGGGGATGCCTTTCCAGCTGAGCCTGCGCAGCGAGTCGAGGTCGATGTTGGGCTGGGAGAGGAGGGTTTGGAACTTGTGCTCGAAGGCGGTTGGTTCTAGTGAGGACAAGGGGGTGCTCTGCGATGGAGCCTGTGGTAGCAATGTTGGTGGCGGTGTGGGCGTGAGAGTCTGTGGGGCGGCTGCGGTCACTGGTGGTGGTGCTGCTGCTGTCACTGCTGGTGCTGGTGCTGGTGCTGGTGATGGTGATTGTGATTGTGATGGTGCTGGTGCTGGTGCTGGTGCTGGTGATGGTGATGGTGATGGTGCCGCTGCCGCTGCCGATGCCGATGCCGCCACTGCCGATGCTGCCGGTGGGTCGAGCCTGGTGGTAGTTGCAAATGCTGTGTCCACTATGGACGGCGTATACGCAGGCGTGCGCTTCCAGAATCCCCCGCTGCTTTGTCTGCTTGTCGTCGAGCTGCTCATCTTTCTATGAAATGTATTGTGTAATATTAACTATATTGAGAGAGATAAAAGAAAAAGTATATGCGAATTGGCTTGAGTTGAATGTAAAGAAATTAAAAAAATGAAAGTACAATTATAAAAGCGCATAAAAAAGAAGGAACCCCCCTCCCCTCCCCTTTTCGGTCACTTTGAAAATAAAGTGTGTGAGAGGAGAGGAGGGAGGGCTTACGTGTGGGCAATACACAAATCGCCTATCCGCCCATCACTTCCCCTCACGACCTCTCTCCCTTTCCTTTACTTTACCTCATTTTTTTAAATTCAATTTATTTTTCCCCCTCAATCTTGCTACGCTTTTTTGTAAATTTTATTCTTTCTTTCACAAAAAATTAAAATAAAATAAAATAAAAACATTTATAAGGAAATGCCAGGAACTAAAGTCTACGCCGATATGACGCCGCTCATGACCCCAGGAGGAGCGGCCAAAACGAAATCCACCGCCAAATCTATTCCCAAAGACCCCCACGGTTTTGACCCCAGCACCAGCACGCGCAACCCCACGACTCTCTCCCAAGACAAAACCTCCGACTCCACAGAGCTCGCCCTGCGCTCCAAAAAGGCCTGGGAAGTTGCCATGGGGCCTGGAAAATCCCTCCCTATGCAAGCCTTTATGGCTTGGATGTCTGGCACCGGCGTCTCGATCTTCAGCATTCTCATCACAGGAATGATCCTAATGACTCCGTTAAAGTCAATTATGGCCGTGCAGCAGACTTTTGCTCCCCTGGAAAGGGTCCATAAGGGCGGCGAGAGACTGGATTTGAACTTGCAGAAGGCTGCTTTTGTTGCTATCAACGTTGCTGGTGTTTTGTTTGGCGTTTATAGATTGGCTATCATGGGTTTGTTACCGACTGCGTCGTCGGATTGGTTGGCTTTTATTCCTGCAAAGACCTTTGCTGAAATTTCTTTTTAATATCCTTCAATTAACGTTTTTTGTAATGTTGATAAGAGTTAAAATGACCGTATTTAGTGCCACTGAAAACGCATTCACCTGTAAATAACCAAAAGACATTGTTTTAAAATTGTAAACAAATGGTTCGCTTGCTCAGACTATTTTGAATAACAGGAACATCGAGATAACCGGAAAATACATTATACAAATGAAAAAATGTCGCAATGTATTTATATATTTTTATTATTTATATTGAAAGGGGAGGGGTGTAGAGAGAGAGAGAGAGAGACTGCGCGCGCAGTTTTATTTCGCATTTCTTTATATATAAAATATTTAAAAAAAATGTTTTGCTCATTTGAGTTTTCCTTTCAACAAGACATACCCGTGCCCCCCTTTTTGTAATTTAAAATTTTTTTAAAAAAATACATATATTTTAAGAGCATCCCATTCACAAAGTTGTACTCATTTTCTTTACAATTATTTATATAAAAATATCCAACCATTATTTCTTCTTATAAATAACTCCTTAAAATAATGAAAGAAAGCGGGAAAAAGCGCAAGGGGATCATAAAGTCTGCGGAAAACAAGGGGTACAAGAATAAAAGACAGGATATAAAAAACAGGATGGTTAAAAATGAAAAAGGTAATCTAAAAAGGAAGCAATTGCATTCACAAAAATGGTTCAAGTCCATTTTAAATCACTATTATCTTTAGAAACGATTACTCGCAGTAACATGAGTTATTTTCCATATGCAATAAATCCTTTTCTTATAAAAGATGGTAAATTAACAGATAGTTTCGAACTAGGAATAACTTACAATAAGGGAATTCGTATATGTGATATATTAAAGCATTTCTATGATATATACAACAACAAAATACTTGTATTGAGTGTAGGAGGTAAGATGGGAACTCAATCTTTTGTATTAAATAATTATTTCAACTACATTTCCACATTTATAAAATTCTTTAAATTCCATACGCTTGTGAGTAAACCTATTAATCGTGGGTATTTTACCTTGCTGGAGACAAATGCAACATATATAGAAATTAAGAAAATAAAGGCAAAGATCAGATTAATGTTATTGAAAAAAGAAACTGACAGCCTGGAGAGAATAGCAACTAATGCTGCGACTATTGGGAGAAAAAAAAGGGAGATCCGGGGTTTTTTGAATGGTATGATCGTCTAGTTAAAGGTTGCAATGTTGGATAGCTAGACCCGCACAATTTGTGTCATCCCATTTTTTACAATATTTATTATTTACTTTATATTTGTTATAAAACAAGTTCTTGTCAACATGCTGCAAAGCTATAAGTTGTCCCTTATCTTTTAATTGGCACAAATGCTTAACTACGATTACAGTTAAATATATATATATATTAACTTTGGTTTTATTGGCGCTCAGGACCCTAATAATTGACAATGCTAGTTTTTTTCGCAAAAGTTTTAATGTCTATGTCTAAAACGGACTCTGCATATGGCAACTTGTGTGCTATACACAGCAATATTTAAATTAAATATTTGAAATAATTTATTTATTAAACAATATAAATTGGCCTAGGCCGTAATGGAATTGTTATTTTATTTTTAATATTAATG